TCCATCCACCCTCCCAAGCATGATAGCCCTCTCCAAGGACAGATCCCTCCTTGCAACATGTCCAAAGTATGTCAGATGAAGCTTCAGAATTCTTGCCTCCAAACAGCAGCCTGGCTTCAAACTCTCCAGGACAAACTTCTTTGTTCTCTTAGCAGTCCATGGTATATTCAGTACTTTCTCCAACACCACAGCTTCACCCTCTCCAGGACAAACTTCTTTGTTCTCTTAGCAGTCCACGGTATATTCAGTACTCTTCTCCAACATCACGGCTCAAAAGTATCAAGTCTCCTATCATCCCTAGACATTTTCCAGCTCTCTGATGCATAGCAAGTGATTGCAAAGACCATGGCCTGTATCAGGTGCACCTTAGTCTCCAGGCTGACATGGTTGCTCTTCAGTACTTTAGAGAGGTCTCTAACTGCAGACTTTCCCATTGCAATACATCTTTTAATTTCCTGGCTGCTGGTGCCAAGAGTGTTGATTATAAGACCAAGCAAACTAAAGCTGTGAACAATCTCAATCTCTCCACCATCTATCATGATTCTGCCAGTCGGCCCTGTGGTGAAAATTTTTTGTTTTCTTGATATTGAGCCTCAATGCATACTGAAGGTTGTAGTCCCTGACCTGCAGCAAGCACTTCAGGTCCTCCTCAGTTTCATCAAGCAGGGTTGTGTCATCTGCATAATGCAGATTGTTGATTATTTTTCCTCCAATCTTGATGCTACATTTCTCCTCATAGAGCCGAGCCACCCAGATAATCTGTTCTGAATATAGATTGAAAAGGTATGGAGATAGGACATATCCCCAGCATACATCCTTCCTAATTTTGAACCATGCAGTGTTTCCTTGCTCTGTTCTGATGACTGCCTCCTGGTCCAAGGATAAGATTCGCATTAGCATGATCAAGTGTACTGGGATTTTCATGGATAGGAAGACTCAATATAGTGAAAATGACAGTCCTGCTTAGAGCAATCTACATGTCCAAAGCAATCCCAATACAGATAACCAAATTCTTTTTAAAAAAGATAGACAAGGTAGTTGACAAGTTTATTTGTAAAGGAAAGAGACCTTGAATGAGCAAAGCACCTTTGAAAGACAAAAATGAAGTGGGAGGTATAGCACTCCCTTATCTCAAAACCTACACAGCTGTAATAGCCAAAACAGCATGGTATTAGTACAACGACATGCACATAGACCAATGGAACAGAATCGAAAACTCACAAATTAAGCTGTCTACCTGTGTTCAACTGATATTTGACAAGGAAATAAAACCTATCAAATGAGGAAACAACAATCTCTTCAACAAATAGTGCTGGTGAAATTGGACTGTTACCTGCAGAAAGCCAGATTAGGATCCACATCACATTCCATACACAAAAATTAACTTGAATTAGATCAGAGACTTAGGGCTAAAGCCCAAAACCATAAAGATCATAAGAGACAAAATGGAACCAAACTTACAAGACCTAGCGAAGGTACGGGAAAATATAGCCAGAAATATACAAACAGGAGAGGATACCATTGATGAATGACAAAGGTCTCATAAAAGTTTCAGAATACTACAGGACCTCATAGGAAAAAGACTGATAACATAATTACAAAATGGGCAAAAGACCTAGAAAGACTTCACAAGGGAAGCCATTCAGGTGACCAACAGACACATGAAAAATGCTCAAAATCACTGGCAATAAGAGAGATGCAAATCAAAACCACAGCGAGATACCAACTCGCCCCAGTAGCAGTGGCAGAGTTTAACAGGACAGCAAGCAATAAGAGAGTGTAGAGAGATTAGAACCCTCATACACTACTAATGGGATTGTAAAATGGTACAACCACACTGGAAGGCAGTTTGACATTTCCTAAAAAAACCTGAACACTGAAATTCCATATGACCCAGCTATTCTATTGCTAGGAAAATAGACCTGAGACACAGAGATTTGTACACCAATGTTCATTACAGGAGTATTCACAATACTAATAAAATGGAAACAACTCAGATGTTCGTCAACAGACAAATGGGTAAAGAAATTGTGTACATTCACACAGTGGAATATTATGCAGCACTAAAAAATAGTGATGAATTTGTGAAACACTACACAATGTCTATATTTTGCTGAGTGAAAATAAGTCACAAAAGGACATATACTTTATTTGTAAGACTTTTGTTACAAAAATAGGATGGCTATGGGTATGAGCAGGGCAGGAATAGAATGCATAGACCATAAACACTAATGAAATGAAGAAGAGAAGGAAAGAACAACCTGACATGAATGGACATTCAGAAACTATGTATATTTTAATTAACAGCTTTGAACAGGAAATAAAAACTGTCCAAGTTGCCTGGGGAAAAGAAAGAAAAAAAAATCTAAGGAAAGATATACCAACAGATAGAGTTGCTGGAGTTAGACAGGCAGGAACAGAAGGGGGAGGGGTAGAGGGAGCAGAGATTTATGAAATATGTCAACTGGTATATCAATAATTCCTAGGGCCTTGTTTTTTTGCCATTTCCTTCAAAGCAGCTTGAGCTTTTTCCGTCACCACTGCCTCTTGATGATCAAGAGAAACATTCCATACAGTTCTTTATTTCCATTACATTGTCAGGGTATTTTTCCTCCCTTACAATCATCCCACCACCATCTACTTTCATGAAAGCTTGTATACCAGCTGCTTCATGCCTCATGACCTAATATCCCTACCTCCCTTTAGATAGACAGTTGCTGATTTGCTGATCCCTAGCAAACCTACTCAGGAAAAAACCACTTCTCTTTTGCTGAAGGGTCCTCTCTTCAGCTTGGCACCTTTGAGCATCTACATCCATAAGCATCTGGGGGTCTAGTGGCAAGACACTGCTCTGCATTCTAAAGACACACAGAGTCCACCATTTGGTTCATGGGAGAAGGATAGGAAGTCTCCTCCCGTGCAGTTAACTCCCTCTGAAAACTCGCCAGAGGGTCAGCTATGGGTCGTTTCCAACTCAATTGTGGTTGGTATACAACAACAGTCCAGAGCAAGCCATCAGGTTGCAGTACTCAATCCTGGACTAAGATCAAGTGTAGATCAGTGTTGATTATTTTGTAGCTTATCAAAATGATGATCTTAAAATCTTTAATTATTAAAGAATTCTCAGATCTTTAAAAAAATGTTATTGGACTCTAATCCAAGAAGAGTATTGGTCAGCAAATGAGTCATTCTGCTATTCAAGTGTAGTTCCCAGTAGTGCCTCCTTTTATATAATTGAACTATCCACCAAATACCTTGATAGCCAAAAAAATTAAGACAGTAGATCAAAATGCAAAATAAAATAACACATCTACCTAATATTTAGTATTATTAAGAATTGATATTCATGCACATCCAAAAACTTCTCCAGCAGAGTAAAAAGGAAAGCCACAGACTGGAAAAAGTATTTGGTAATGACATGTCAGATAAGGGACTTATATCTAGAATTTATGAAACACTTGAGCACCACACAAAATAAACGTAAATAATCCAGTTGAAAAATGGCACAGGATATGAACAGACACTTCACCATAGAAGGCATTCAGGTGGCCAAAAAGCACATGAAGAAGTGTTCAAAATCCCTAGCTCTAACAGAGACGCAAATCAAAACAACTATGAGATATCATCTCACCCTAGTAAGAATAGCAAGATTTAACAGAACAGCAAGCAACAAATGCTGGCAAGGTTGTGGAGAAACTGGAACCCGTATTCACTGTTGGTGGAAGTGTAAAATGGTGCAACCACTGTGGAAAGCGGTATGGCACTTTCTCAAAAAGTTGTAAATAGAGATACCATTTGACCCAGCAATTTCACTACTGGAAATATACCCTAAAGAGACCATAACCGCCATCCAAGCAGATATATGCACACCCATGGTTATCACGGCTTTGTTCACAACAGCAAGAATTTGGAAACCACCCAAGTGCCCATCAACAAATGAATGGATAGAAAAGCTGTGGTATATTCACACAATGGAATACTATGCTGCATTGAAAAACAAAGACCTCATGCAATATTACTCAAAATGGGTGACGCTGGAGGACATTATGCTGAGTGAAATGTCTCAGTCACAAAAAGACAAACACTGCATGGTGCCACTGTTGTAGAATGGGACTGGCATCAGGGTCGGGGTAAAACTGAGAAAAACTGCATAACTTATGTATACTGCATTGAAACTGATGAGGGAGAGAACAGTATAAAAGTGACATTTGATAGGGTATTATGCTTATCACAAGATGTTCAAAATTAAGGTTGCATAGTGGAGTGTACTCAGCACCGGGGGAGGGGGGATTGTATACCAATGAAGGAATTTTTCTTCTACTTTTCAAAGAAAGGTGTGAACTGGGGTGGGGGCGGGTTGGGCAGGGAGAAAAGTGTAACAATGAATGAATGGAAACCCAAAATCTCAGTAAATGTTCATTAAAATTAATAAAATAAAATTTTAAAGAGTTGATATCCGTGGATTCACGGTTCTTCAAACAATAAATGTATGAAAACGCAAGCCTTGATGGGAACTATAGATTGAATAAATACAAGAGTGCTTTTCTGGGTGAGCTCTGGTGGCCTAGTGGCAAGAAGCTGCACTGCAATCCCAGAGGTCTGTGGTTTGAATCTACAGTCAGATCAGATTGGATGGTACACACATTAAAATAATAAATAATAATAATAGGGAAAAAATAGTGATTTTTCTTAAAAAAAGTGCTTTTCTGGTATAAATCCTTTTTGTTTCAGTCATAACAATCTGAACTCTTTTTTTATATTGTTTTAAGAAACTAGTAATAACTACAGTGTGTTAGAAAATACTGTTAATCGGAAAGTGCATTATCTGTGTTTTCCTTTCACTAGTTGAAATGATTTGCTGTTATTCTAGATTTCCTTCAGCAACTTGTGACTAGAACATTAAAATGGGTTTGGGACTGGTGGAGCCCTTCAGTGTTTGTTTAATCTGTATTATGTCCACCTGGGAGTGATGGTGCTAATTTTGTCTTTGTCCTCCTCAGTACCCACCTCAGGAATCACCTATGGGATGGTGGCCGCTGACTTGCTCCACAGCTTGTTGGCGCTCAGTGGGGCACCATGCCTACTGAAGATTCAGAGCCTTTTTATGTTAGATGAAAACAGCTACCCACTGCAACAAGATTTCTACCTCCTGGATTTTTACCCTGAGATTACATGAATTGCAGGCAATTCAAAAAAGCAAGCATTCAAATTATCTGTCTTTTGAAATAAATGAATGACATGACTTTTGCTTTGTATTTTAAAATAAATATATTTTTCAAATAGAATTGTACAGTAAGTATAAATTAAAATTATATACTTTTAAAAAATGTAAGGTTTTGTTTTTCTTTAATAACACTATTTTGCCTTCCTATTTACTTTCTTTTGCAAATATAATCTAATAATAAACATGTTGTTTTGTGCCATCACATTACTTGCAGCTTACACAGTAGCTCTCAACCCTGTCCTATGCTGAGCCAATCTCACTGTATCTCTGACATCCCTAACCCAATTACCCTAGTTATTGTGTCAATCCATCTCATCTGGGGTCTTCCTCTCCTACATCGTTCCCTCCACTCAACCTTTCCAAGCATGATGTCCTTCTCCAAGGTCTGGTCCTTCCAAGCCACATGCCCACAATATATGAGATGGAGCTTCAAAATCCTTGCTCCAAGGAGCACCCTGGTTTCACCCAATCCAGAACAGGCCTGTTTGTTCTTTTGGCAGTCCATGGTATATTCAGTACTCTTCTCCAGCATCACAACTCAAAGGCATTGATATTTCTATCATCTTTATTAATTGTTTAGCTCTTTGTTGCATAGCAAGTAATTGGGAAGAAGCTCACCTTAGTCTCTTGGCTGACATCATTGCTACTAAGTTTTCTAAAGAGGTCCCTAACAGCAGACTTCCCCAGTGCAATTCGTCTTTTGACTTCCTGGCTACTGGTACCAAGAATGTTGATATGGAGCCAAGTAAGCTGAAGCTGTTAACAGTCTCAGTCTCTTCTCTGTCTATCATATCTTGAGAAAGTAGAGGGTCTCCGAAAGAGGAAAACGCTCTACCTTCCCTGACATGAGATCCCTCTTTAAGGAATAGCCTCTCCTAGCAAGATGCCCAAAGTATGTGGGATGAAGCATTATCATCTTTGCCTCCAGAGAGTGCTCTGGATTCGCCTTCTCCAAGACATACCTGTTTGTTCTTTTGGAAGTTCATGGGATATTCAGTACTCTTCTCCAACACAAACATGGGCTGGACTGAATAAAGACTTCTATCATGAAGTACATGTTGTGAATGATAGACCATACTCCTACAAGGAATGGCTTTTAATATAACACACCATTCAATGAGGAGGCTGAGCGGCATTTTCTGAGATACAGATTTCTGTGAAGACCCTGACTGGAAAGACCATTACTCTTGCGGTTGAGCCCAGTGACACCTTCAAGAGTGTCAAAGCCAAAATCCAAGACAATAAGGGCATCCCCCATGACCAGCAGTCCCTGATATTTGAGGGCAAACAGCTAGTAGACAGCCATCCACTCTCTGACTACAACATTCAGAAGAAGTCCACCTGCACTGATGCTGCATCTGTGTGGAGTCATTACCGAACCTTCCTACAACAGCTTGCCTATAAGTATAACTGTGACAAGATGGTCTGCTGCAGGTGTTCTGCTTGCCTGCATCCTTGTGCTGTTAACTGCCTCAAGAAGTGTGGGCACACCAACAACCTTGTGCCCCGAAAAGAAGGTCAAATAAGAGCCCCCTCTTCACTGTCTCCCTTGCCTCTTGCAGGTGTCCTTTTTGAGCCCTATGGCCCTGAGGCCTCAATAAAGTCTTTCATTGAAAAAAAAAGAAAACTATATGCACCAACAGCTAAACCCAAAGGGGAAGATATTGAAGATTTTTACAAAATTTTGCAGTCTGAAAATGACCAAACATGCAATCAATGTGCATTAATGATATCTGGCAACAAGAATGCAAAAGTTGAAAACAGTAGAGTGGTAACATGAACGTGGTGACAGAAATAAGGCTGGGAATAAAATGAGTTTAGTACATTCAATGATATATTTATTGCAAATACCTTTAAAAACTACACACACAAAGGGTGATTTTACACATGGACTTCATTAGGTGTACTGCATAGCAAATGGACTGAATACATCTTTGGAAAGAATCATTGAAGAAACTCAATGTCAGCAGTCAAAAGCAGGCCAGGTGCTCATATGCAAGTTCAAATTGAACCTGAAGAAAATGAAAACAAGGCAACAATAACCAGTATGATCTTGAGTCTATTCAATCTTTAAAATAGATTTGAAGCATTGAGCAACAGTGATCGAAGAGCAGATGAGCTGTGGGATGACATCATGGATATAATCCAGAGTGCAAAAGATCACTACAAAGAAATAAGAGAAAGAAAAAACTAGGGGAGCTCTGGTGGCCTAGTGGCAAGGAGCTGCAACTACAATCCCAGAGGCGCACAGTTCTAATCCACCAGATGCTCTGCCGGGGAAGGAGGGACAATCTCCTCCTGTACCAGTCAGATCTGATTTGACGGTACACGCACACAAAAATAATAAAAAAAAGAAAGAAAAATACTAAAATTAATGTCAAAAGAAATCCTGAAAATTGCACTACAGTGTCAGGAAGCCAAAGCAAAGCAAAGAAATGTTGAAGTAAAAAAGCTGAACAGAAAATTTCAAAATAAGACAAAGAAAAGCATTATAACAATGTGCAGAGAACTGAAACTGGAGAATAAAAAGGGAAGAATTCAGCCAGCATTTCTAAGGCTGAAAGTTCTGAAAAACAACTTCAAGCTTTGAGTTGCAATACTTCGAGATGGTATGGGCAAAATCTTGAATGACTCAGGAAGCATCAAAAGAAGAATACACAGAATCACAGTACCAAGAAGAACTGACAGACACTGAAATATTTTAGGAAGTATGTTATGATCAAAAGCCAATGGTAATGAAGGAAGAAATCAAGCTGTACTGAAGGCATTGGGGAAAAAATAAGGTCCCAAGTATCAATGGGATACCAGTTGACATGTTTCAACTAGCAGATGCAGCCCTGGATGCACTCACCAGTCTATGCCAAGAAATTTGAAGGACAGCTGCCTGGCTAACTAATTGGTAAATATCTGTATTTGTTCTCTTCCTAAGAAAAGTGATGTAACAATGTGGAAACAATCCAACAATATCCTTAATTTCACATGGTGAATATAATTTTAAAATGGCTAAAACAGCATAGCTGGATTTAGAAGATGCCATGGCACCAGGGATATCTTTGTTAATATCAGATGGGCCCTGGCTAAAAACAGAATTCTAGAAGAGTATTTGTGCTTTATTGACTATTCAAAGCCATGTGACTGTGTAGCTCATAACACATTATGGCTAACACTGAAAAGAATGTCAGAACACTTAATTGTGCTCATGTGAAATCTATACCCAGACCAAGAAGGAAATAGAGCAAGGGAACACTACATGGTTTGAAATTAAGAAAGGTGTACATCAAGGTTGTATCATTTCTCAGTACCTATTTTATGTGTATGTTGTGGTTATTATATGCTATCAAGTCACTTGTGACTCATAGTGACCCTATCTATGTACAGTAGCTCTGAATTCTGATCCATCCTGAGCCAGTCTTACTGACTTCAACACGCCTACCCTTATTACTCCAGTAACTGTGTCAGTCCATCTCGTCTTCCTCTCTTGCTCTGTCCCTCCACCTTTCCAAGCATGATGTCCCTCTCCAAGGACAGGACCCTCCTGGTCATGTGCCAAAAATATGTGGAATGGAGTTTAAAAATCCTTGCCTCTGAGGAGAAACTTGGATTCACCCTCTCCATGACAGGCCTGTTTGTTCTCTTGGTAGTACATGATATGTTCATTACTCTTCTCTAGCACCACAACTCAAAGGCATCAATTCTTCTGTAATGCTTATTCGTTGTCCAGCTCTCTGATGCATAACAAGTAATTGCAAAAACCATAGATATAATTACTCTTTAGGACTTTGGAGAGGTTGTTGACAACTGACTTCCCCAGTCTATTGATTTCTTAACTTCTGGCGCCAAAATTATTGATTGTGGGGCCAAGTAAGCTGAAATAAACAATCTCAATATTGTACCCATCTATCATGGTGCTGCCAGTTAGTCCAGTGGTGAGAATCTTTGTCGTCTTGATGTTGAGCTTCAATTCATAATGAAGACTACAGTCCCTGACCTTATGTGTATACTGAGCAAAGTATCCAAGAAGCTGAAATCTGTGAAAAAGAATATGACAGCAGGATTGAAGGAAGACTTATCCATATCCTTTGGTATGCAGTTGACACGCTTGCTAAGATTGAAGAGGACTTGAAGTGCTTGCTGCAGAAGGTCAAACATTGCAGCCTTCAATATAGATTGCATCTCAATGTCAAGAAAACAAAAATCCCTGCCACTGGACCAGTAGGCAATATCATAATAGATGGAGAAAAGACTGAAACTGTCAATGGCTTCATCCTGCTTGGATCCACAAGTAGGACATTTGTTACCAGCAGGCAAGAGATCAGGAGAGAGATATATTTGAATTCTCCAAAATAAGAGATGGAGAGAGTACTGAAAGCAGCACAAAAAAACCAAAGAGTCATCTTAAAAAGAAAAGCAGTGGCGTGCTCTGGTGGCCTAGTGGCAAGAAGCTGCACTGCAATCCCAGAGGTGTGCGGTTCAAATCCACCAGATGCTCTGCTGAAGAAGGAGGGACAATCTCCTCCTGTACCAGTCAGATCCGATTTGACGGTACACAAATAACAAAATAATAATAATAAAAAAATTAAAAGAAAAGCAATTCAATTAAGTTCTGACTTTTAGCGGAAACCATACAAGCAAGAAGACAGTGGGAGGGCATATAAAGAAGGTTTAAAGAAAACAATTGTCAACTAAGGATCCTGTACCCATCAAATATGAAGGAGAAATAGCATCCTTTGCAGAAAAGAAAGAACTTAAGGAATTTATGAAAACAAGACCAAACCTACAAGAACTTTTAAGAGAAGTAAATCCTTCACAGAGACACCAGAGGAAAGTGGATGGACCCTAGTAACAAGAAACACAGCAAAATGGCAATGATAAAACCTGGCCTGTCAATAATCACACTTAATGTCAATGGACTAAATGCACCAATCAAGAGAAAAAGAGTAGCAGAATAGATA